TAAGTGACTTGCCCAGGGTCACACAGCTAATAAATGTCTGAGGCTGGATTTGAACTCAGTTTTCCTGGCTCCAGCTCTAGTGCTCCATCTACTGTGCCACCTAGCTGCCCCCTATATCCGTTTACATATTGTTATTTTCCTGAGATGAAGACAGGAAACATTTCCACTGAGGGTTAGCTCAGTGTCAGGCTTACTAATTACATATGTTCTATCTGCTTGCTGTCCAGGTTTCCAGTTCGTGTTCCTAATTCAGCTATTTATTTTCTAAATAAGCTTGGTTCCAAGTTAAAATACTTCTGTGTTGTTGCTTTCCCACCTGACACCCACGGAGACAAACACTCTCTGGCCTACATACCTCTCTCAAAGGGGTAGTGGAAAGAACGACTGATTTGGAGCCATGGGTCCGAATCCTAACTCTGCCACCTATGTAACCTTGAGGAAGGCATTTCATCTCTTTGGGCCTCTGTTTTTTCTCATCTAATAAAATGAGGCCAGTTGGACAATATGACCTCTGAAGACCCTTCCAATTCTAAGTCTACAGTGCCGTGATTTGTGTATCTTTTTTAAAAAATCATGAACCAATAATGCCACTACTAGGTCTGTTTCCAAAGATGACTAGGGAAAGAGGAAAAGAACCTATGTGTTCTGGGGGCAGCAAGGTGGCTCAGTGGATAGAGCTTCGGCCTTGAAGTCAGGAGGACCTGAGTTCAAATTCGGTCTCAGACACACAACACACAACACATATTAGCTGTGTGACCCTGGGCAAGTCACTTAACCCCAACTGCCTGGCAAAAAGCAAAACAAAAAAACAACAAAAAAAAGAACTTATGTGTTCTAAAATATTTACAGTAGCTCTCTTTGTGGGAGCAAAGAACTGGAAATTTATAGACAGGCTTGTCAGTTGGGGAATGGATGAACAAATCATGCTATATGATTGTGATGGAATACTATTGTGCTATAAGAAATGATGAGCTGATGATCTCAGAAATACATGGAAAGACTTGCATGAAATAATGAAGAGTGAAATGAACAAAATCACTGTATACAGTAACAGCAATATTGTTTTAAGAACACTTTGAGTGACCAAGTCATTTTGACTATTATAAATACCCAGCTTAATTACAAAGCACATATGAAGGAAGATGCTATCTGCATCCAGAGAAAGAACTG